TGCTCCTCTAATTTTGAGTATCTATTTTGAATATCTAGGGTTATCAAAACGGGGTAGTGATCAGAGTCCAATTCCTGAATCACTTTTATCTCATGCCGAAAAAATATATTATAAAAGGCAGCCAGATCAAGAACTGCAGGGGACCCTCTTACAGGTTAAAAAGTCGGGAGGGTAGGAGCTATGATCTGTACATGGTTACTCTGGCACCATGAATTTAGACTAATACCATACCTGTTCCTATTAGAACAAAACCATGCGTGAATTTAGATCACCAGCAATAATTAGGTGATTTGAAATACTTCAAAAGATTATCAAAATCACTGACAGGAAAAGCTGGCCTTCCACGTGCTGTAGACAGTGGAGGTAGATAAGCTGAGACTATTGTCAGCGGGGAGGAATTTTGAAGGAAAATTTTGATGATTGTCGCTTCCAAAAAATTTAAATCAGGGGACGGTATCATGTGGTGCTTTAACGAACGCTTCACATAGATACAAGTGCCACCACTGGGATATCTGCCCTGTGACACCCTGCCAGTACAGTAAATGTCATAATTCCCAATTCTGGGAGTATTCCCTGGGGTAAGGCGAGTCTCCTGGACTAAAAACACGTCAATACCGTGCTCTACTACAAAATCACGAACTTCGTGAATTTTAGGTGCCAATCCATTGGCATTCCACGTGCAAATGGTCAGTTCTCTGGTGGTATTTGAACTGTCATTCATAAAATTGAATTTTAGGGCCGTTATTAGAGGTTCATCACTGAAAAACAGAAGACATGGGTCTAAAAATGCCAAATTAAATTGAAAGCTCAACATAGCTTTCATAAATATAAAATGCCCTCATTAAAGCATCTGCTTGCCTGAGTTTAGGCATTGCTTTTTTGAAGGCAAGAAGCAGAATATGCTTGTCTACCGCTGGGTCGCGGGAGATTTCGATTAAGCATTTTAGTGTAGATGAAAAGACATCGTCGGAATCATTGCTACACTCTGCTGCGGCTGACACTGCTGGGGCATCAGGGGCTTCTGCAACCGGCAGTCTTGGATTCGTGGATTTGAATCCGTGCTCGGTGGTGTTCTTCACCATCTGTGCATAAGATGGTGAACTGACATCTGTGCATAAGATGGTGCTTGGGGGAGCAGGCATGGGACGTCTTGTCTCAGCGGTTGCTGTGGGCTTAGAAGAACCCTGCGGGGGGCTGTCTGTGCAGCTGCCCTAGTCTTAGGCGTGGAATTTTTGCCACGAGCCCGTTTGTTACCTGGGTAGCGGGGACAAGATTTGTATGATGCAGGATGATCTCCACCGCAGTTGCAGCAAGTGGCAGGTACATCTAATCCTTTGGTACACTCTCGTGCCCAATGGGGTCCAGAGCATCTGACACAACGGATTGGAAGGGTGCAGAGTTCCGAAGAATGGAAAAAGCCCTGGCACCGAAAGCACTGAGTAGGGCCCTTGCGGCCGCGGTAACGCTCAATGCTGATCTCTGTGCCCCACATGTCAGTGACGGCAAACAGATGATCGAGGAAGGGGTGTGGGATGACTTGTAAATAAACAAGTGGCATTGGATGTCTGGAGCCAGGCTGAGTAAGCCGAACGATGCGATGCACTTTAAATCCCATCGCCTCAACTTCCTCTTTGATGTCCTCGACGACGTCTGTTTCAACAGGGAGGCCTCTGATAACAATTTTGACTGGCCGGTCCTGCTTGAGATCGAAAGTTTTGAACTGGATGCCGGCTTGCTTCATCCAGCGGGTGACCTCCCTGAACTCCAGCTCTGTTTGTACAAAAATTTTTAGATAGGGTCCAGTCAGAATGCTCCGTAAATTTGGGGCAATTTCTCTCATGAAAGACACTTGTGTCTTCCAGTTCTTGCTGCTTTTGAGGTGAATTGCCGGAATCTCAGGCTGCGGTGGGGGGGGGGGGGATACGTTCCGTGCCAGCTCGGAATTTACTCCCTCAGTGGTGCTCTCACTATTCTTTTCAGATTCATTTTATCATCGTTGATAATTGAATTCCTGATTCTTTCGTATTTATTATTAATCCTCTCCTTTTTTGCAGGAGTAGTATTTTTTGAACTACCTGATAATTTTGAATAGTAGAATTTGCTTCTTTAGTGTTGTTTGCTAAATCATCTATTGTGAGATCCACAATTGGCGCCTTCCCTTGCGTACGCGCCGCGAGGGTGATAAATGGTTTGGACGCCTCATGGTCGCAAGGATCTTCTGTGGATTGAGCAGCAACCATCTTGGCTAAGCGCTCGCTCTCCAATATATTTGAAAATTCCTCTCTGGTCGAGGGAAGGTGGAAAATCGGTACATCAAGGACATTAGCAATCTCATTAATTTTGTGAAAAAGAGTCTTACCCGCCCGGTCGAGCTGGTCGTAGCCACTTGAGTCCAACGGAGATGGAGTTCTCTTCAAGAAGTTCTTCTGTTGTTGAATCGCTTCAAACTGGTGTTTCAGGTCGTAGAACTGGATAATTAATTCCATGCGTCCATCATCATTCGTCGCTGATTGCACAGAGGGAGCCTGATCCCTAATATCATGCATATTCTCGTCAATAATCGCATTATTAACATCAAAATTCCCAGAATTGCCCTGAGTTGGCGGGAGCTCGTTACACGAACAACCGTCACCCTCGCCGTCCATCCTTGGAATCGCCCTCATTTGGGAATTGTGGGCTTCAGCACAGTGTATCGTGAACAATTCGTCCAGCGTCATCCAATCCGTTTCGTTTTGGGAGAATACAATCGGTGGGTGCGGGCTCACTTCGCTGGCTCCTCCTATTGGGCATTCCTCTGCAATTTTCCTGAGTATCTGAAATCGGTTTTTCTTGTGGTATCTCCATAGGGACTGGCTTTTCTTTAATTTTTACTGTCTTCTTGGGGAAATTCCAATTACCTTCCTTATCAGCGGAAGTGGCGTCTTGTTTCGTTCATTGTCTTTTGCTGTTAAGCTTCTTTGCGTATTCCATCGCTAGATTACCCACTTTTTCAGGGGACTTAGCAGCCCTTAGTCGTTCTTCAAATTCCCTGTGGCGCGTCAGGTGTTCCGTTCCGAATTCCTGTAGAAGCAGCTGTATTTTTTCCTCCCCGTTGTCCTGAATTAATTTCTGAAATTTTTCCTCTCGGGTTCCTTCCTCCTTTGCAATTTCCATCTCCGATACAGCGTTATCCTTTCGCTTTCACCTTTTTCCTGAGTCTGGGATCCTTCAAGAATTCTTCGCGTTTCGATGTGGATGGTAGTGAGAAAGTCGAGAGTCCTGAGTCCGTGCAATCGCTGGCTTCATCGTCTGTATTAACTGCCCTAAAAAAGGACATACTTTCCGTGTAACCCAAAGGGTCACTCTCAAAAGTCAAAGCAGAGCTCAATCAAAAACTATAAGTACACTAACCGACCGCCTAAGGGACTGGGTCAGTTCAAAGTAAGAATCGCGGAGCTAACCAAAATGCGTGCAACACGCTCGGAGTCACAGCTCGGTTATCGCATTCTCTTGAAATAGACGAACCTGTAGAATTTCAAGAAAGAAGACTTAGCATAAAAAAACAACATGCTAATTATAATAGATTTCACAAAAATTCTTCTTGCTGTTTGAACGAATTGTGCTGTACTTCTTGCTATGTGAACCATTACAAATTTTTTTGGTTGGGGGGGGGAGATGAGAAATAATTAATTTTACATATATATGATATGTAAATTAAATGAAAATTACAAAGGCTCTGAATTTTATGAATTACCCCACCCCTCGCACAAGATCTCATGTTTTAAGTGGTAGCTAACAATTGATCAATGATTCAATTCAAACGAGGATATACTTAAATTTTGAGTTTCCCGTTTAAAAATATATATATATATAAATCTCTACAATTAAAGCAAACAAAAATGTAAGCCATGCAAATATTTCTCTTACCTTTTTAAATAAAAATCTTCAGTCTGATAGCTAACGTTGATAGTTTTGTAACATTTTAAAGCTGTCATCAAAATCTTGCAATATTTGTTTCCGGTAGTTGAAGAAGCTACCTGCAAGAGATCATAATTTTTTATCCTGATATCTAATATAAATACCTTGTATGGGTCCACTAGTGAGCAATGGTAAAATATATGAGCATTAGTAATTTCAACTGCAGCTCAAATTCTAACGAACGGCCTACCTTTATGGAAGTTTTAATAATTTTTCCTATGTCTAATGTGACTGAGAGACAGTTTCCCCATGCCCTATACAAAGGCATACCTTATTTTACGTGGATGGCCCTAACATTCTTTGCAATAATCAAATAATTTAACCCAGCCTGAATCTGTTTTCCTTAGAATGCCTATACGATTTTTTCTCCTTCCTCTTCTCATGCCTTCATGGTGTAACTGGAAGCATACTTTATGCATATTCGAGAGGTTCTGGGTTCGAGTCCCAGCGAGGGCATTGCAAATTTTTCACGTCTCCTGCTTCATGAATCTACAGTGACACTCGAACTAAAAGGTGATGGACGATAATTCATCACCATCAAGATCTGGCGATTGGGTCCTGTCAGCCCCAATCGCCCTTTAAAAGGGGGAGTATGTAAGGTATTTTCTTCGTCATTTCCGGATGCCTTTGTGGTGTAATTTGAATCATACTCGACGAATCATTCGAGAGGTCCTAGGTTCGAGTCCTGGCGAGGATCTTGCTTGTTTTTCATGTCTCCTGCTTCAAAAAAAATCTAATGACTCTATAATCAAGACATGGGTTTTCATATTTCAATAACGATTGTTTCCCATATCAAAATAGCTTAGTGGTTGCGTTACAGAAGAAAAAGCTCGTTATAGGCCAGGTTTAACGTGCAGTGATTCTGGGTTCAAGACAGCCGGTAGACGGTATCAATATGTATTTACCTATTTGCCGCATGAAATTCGGTCAAGGCCATTGAATATTTCTGGCTTTCCATATAGCATTTTCGTGCAATATCGAAAATTATTCTCGATTACTCTTAATTAATGTTATTTTTTCATTGTATAGCAATGAAATGTAAAGTTAAATTTCACTTTTTTCATTTTTCAGAGAAACCAACATGGATGCAGGCAAGGAGAAGAAAAGAGATTGTATCATTTCCGATAGTGACGATAGTTCTTGCATAGACATCGAGTGTGACCTTTGCGGAACGTTGTTTGAAAGTGTGAAATCGTACGAACAACATCTGAAAAGTAAGAAACATAACAAAATGTTAAACAAGAACAAATTGAAAAAGGAGCTGAAAAAACCTGATGAATTAGTAGACGAAGCTAATAACAAGGACGACGACGATCAAGATTCAGAAATCCATTGCAGTGTCTGCGGAAAGGCGTTTAACGACCTGTCCCAGTATAAATCGCACTTGAAAGGAGGTGTGCATTCAAAAAATCTCAAAAAGCAAAAATTGAAGGAAAAATTGAAAGACATGGATGGTATCATCGATGGTAACGTTGAAAACGAAGGCGACGATGATGGAGTGCTAGAAAAGCCGTATGCCTACTGTGCTGCTTGTCAAAAACACTTCAGCGGTCCGGAAAGTTACCAGCGGCATTTGAAAGGTACTACACACGAGAAAAAGCTGAAACATCAAGCAATTCTTGAAAAATTTAAGAAGGATAATCCAGATGACGCAAAACTTGTAGATGATGAAGATGATGGATATTTAAAATGCGATGTGTGTAGTAAGTTCTTTAGCGGACATGTCCCATACTCCATACATGTTGAGAGTGCTGTCCACAAAAAAGAAGTAAAAAGGCGGAAAGTTGCGGAAGATTTAAAAGATTTTTATATTCGCGATGCTGAAAATGCAAAATTTGTATGTAAGGAATGCAAAAGACCTTTCTCAGACATTCTTGCGTTGAAGATTCACCTGGAGGTAAATGACCACGAAAAGCAGAAATCAAAACGAGAGATCATGAATTTATTATCATCTCATTCTGAAATTGTTCCAGTGAAGTGTTTAGAAAATTCGGTGTCAGATGACGAAGGCGAAATTGATGGAGATGCTAAGCAGGACTATGATTTTCTTGTTTGCAATATTTGCCGTCTCAGTTTCAGCGGCCCTGCAAGTGCTCGAGATCATGTAAAAAGTAAGAAGCATCTTCGAATGAAGAAAGAGAAAGAGGACATGAAAGCTCTGAAAAATAAACTGAAGATAATGCGCCCGAATTATGAAAACGAAAACACCTCTCGTGATAAACACAGTGACGACACAGCAATGATATCTAATTCCAAAGCCGACACTGCTGACGATGCTTTGGACACATCTAAGCAAGATGGCTTTGAATTCATTTAATAACTATTTTAGAATCATATATGTTCTGTTTGCATTGTTATAAATGAAATTGCTCAATTAATGTAGATTTTAAGAATATCTTTATATATCTATATTATCTATCTATATATATATTAGAATATCTCAGAACTTCATTTTTCATATTTTACGTTTAAGACTTGTAACATTTTTATGTACTGCATTTTTTTCTTTATTGGGCTTAAATAAATGTTAGCTGTAAAAATTAATATTCAGATTCCTTAGTATAATATTTCGAATTCCTTGAGCAATATGCGCCTAATTTGAGAGTTCGTATTTGTTAAAGTTATTACAAATTCTGAAGTGACGTTAGACATGTTTCATGGGATGTTTCCTGTATATATGTGAACATGAACAGATAATTATATTTAGTGTCTTAAAATCGTTATCCACGAACTAACTGCATTAAAAATCTTTGTTCAATTTAATTCTTCTAAACTTTGCAAAGTTATTATACATAGCATTCATTTGTAATTCATTTGTAATTAAATGTGCATACTTAACTTCATTTTCTATGCAAAATATAATACAGTTTGTCAAATTTTATGAAAGACTCTTCTTAAAAGATTAGACAAAAATTTTTAAAAACATGTTATGTGAAATGGGTACGGGCATTTCTTAGTTTCTTTGTACGTATTTTGAGTTATTCCATATGCATATAGCTTATAGTGTTGCTTACAGTTACAGTTACAAATAGCAAACAATTGCATTGGAAATATAATGAAATCCAATTCTCGAAATTCAAAGTAAGTATTTTATATGCAATTTCAACCTTAAATTTTTCGATTGTTTACAGCATTAATTTTTGGCCGGGGAAAAAAATTAATCTTAAAGAGCAATCAATGAATTTTCTTTCTAACAGGAAGAATAAATGAAGAATTTTTCAACTAAAACTTATTTTAGCTTTATATCTTTCAAAATGCTTTTTATTTTTCTTTTAATTAAACCAGATAGCATTCTATTTTATATTTAAATTTAGAAGGCAGTGTATTGTGAATTTTTCTCAGAATGCCTTATTCCAGTTTAAAAAACTAATCACTTTATATCCAAACTTGTAGTTGTTATTTCATTTAATTTTAGCTTATTTTATTTATTTATTTATTTATTTATTTATGTGCATGTGTAATTTTTTATCAACTCCATCTAATGGTTGCATAAATTTTATGATTACATTCTTCCCTTAATAACTACAACTACATATAATAATTACATGAATTTTATGATTCTGATAGTTTCATAAACTTTACAGTGATTTCACATTAAAATGCAAGACTCTAGGAAATAAAAAAACTAACAGAAGTCTTAAACGGAATTTATAATAAGCATTAATAGCCTTTATTATGAAACTTTTACAAACACTACTGTTATGATTCTTAAATTCTACCAAATTCTGTTCTATGAAACTCTAAATATGTAATATTTATTTACTATAACCTTTAAACAATACCAAGGAATAAAAATTCCCAGAACTAATTTATGTGTACTCTAAAATGGTATTTGTATATTGAATCACACATTACAAAAAGTGGGGAATATGTAATACTATAAAAACACTTAGGAGGGTTTTTACATTCATACTTTTAACTTTTGTAATATGCAGTAATGCTTTAAATTATCTCTTGTAAGTTCATTTATGATTTCAGTCTAGAACCTCCATCCAAGAGTTCAGACGATCACATGCACACATAAAATAAGAAAAATCTGTGCTACAAATCTACGCTCAAAATTATGCTTTAATTTATCTTAGGCTTAAATTGAAAGCTTTGGATAGGTATTGTTCCTGTCCCATAAAATGATATTGCTGGTGCTCTGGAATGAGTAATCTGTAAGTGAATATTTTCCGATTCTAAATCATACAATGATGTTTATTAAAAAAGCGTTCTTGTTTTAGATAGGCTAGTTCAAAATATCGTGATTATTAATTATGTACTGTTCTTTTTTAATAAATAAGTCATTACATTCGATAAAGCAGTTGTATTCATTTGAATTAAATTTATAGGTGAAACAAAAATCATTATTGAATAAGAACTACTAAATCTAACTTATTTACACATCAAAAGAAACTTATATATCACTGTATTTCGTCCTGTTTTATTGTCCACCAGCGGCCGAGCGGTAACGCCGCTGAACACTGGTAGTTCGGTCCGAGGTTCGAATCCCGCGAAAGGGCTAGCTGCATGGGTGTTTTCGAGGTTTTTCCCATGTGTAACGTCTATCCGATCCAGTTCCCTTAAAATGACCTTCACGAAGGCATCCCTGCCTTAAGGCAGATAGCCCTCGAGTGCTTTGCCGTAATCTAATAAACCAAAACCAAACCGTCCTGTTTTATTCTACGCCTTCCCCTTACAAGCAATACCATTCAAGACTTGCTAGCAGAAAATTATAACATTCCAAAATAAAATCCTGAGAGCAATTATTAATGGCAAAAAGGCACTAATACTTATTTTAGTATTACTAGACGGAATTAAAGAAACATTTTCTTAGTATCATTTTAATTGAAGAGAAATAGATTACACATTTTGTATAACATAAAAATTAGCTTTTTTATTTACTTTTAGCACAGTGAATATAAAAATATGTTTGTCTTTCATTTTAAAATCTACGCAATTGAACCTTAATTTCATTTACTTACTTTAAATCAAATGGAAATTGAGTAATTATAAAAATAAAAGTAATTCCATTGCCTAATTTTGTCGGGAAAAAGACGTATTAATATTGTTTTACGGGACAGAAATTAAGACATAAAATTATAATTTTTGTTGAAATAACGAAAGTATAAAACTCCTTAGTAAAAGAAATATTTGTTTGTCTTTACTGTAAAAAGCAGAGCAATTATCCGGAGTTTTCAAACATGTCGACTGATCGTCCAGGGATTGGCTTTCTACTGTAAACAAATTTCTGATAGAAATTTATTTGTTTGTTTGAATGCGGCAAAAAACTTCAGGTTTGTCCCAATAAAAAGAATTCCATGATGTTTTATTTTCCCTTAAAATGGATTTTTCTTCCGCTGGATGGTGGCAAAGCCTTACTTTAACGAATGAATGTTTTATAATATGTAAATTTACAAGTTGTCACAGTGCAGTGAAATTTTTAAATTTCTTTCTGAAAGCTTCCTTTCTTAATTTTCCTAAGCTTTTTAAATACGAATGCAGAAAATATCCTGTCGTTGTCCATTTCTGCAAATGATACATCAAAGCAAAACTACAATAGATAGATTAGGTTAGACAATTAAACTAGACGTAATTAGATGTAAATTTTAAATTTCTAATAACAAAATTAAAGTATCTTGTTTGCAGAAGTGAATATACTCATTTAAAATAAAACTATTTGGAAAACGTTTGCCGGCGTAGGTTAAGTATATATTTCAATTTATAATAGTTTTCGTCACATTTATAAAATTTTATAAAGTTAAATACAGTTTTAAATTCATGTTATTTATAAAACGAAGTAACTTGTATTTTTGTACAAGAATTAATATTAATTTACCCTCTTGCCACAGGTGAGATTGTAACTTCATTCATATATACGTACTGAGTAAATGTAATTTTCTTGTTTTTATATTGTTATCATTTAAATAATTAATGTATTTATTTAAAAATTTAACGCGTAATTATATTTCTTTAACCTCTCAAGTAAGAATACTTGTGCATTTTTGGTTTTCATGTTCTTAATATGTAACGTGAATACGAGCTAATTTCCTTAAAAGTCCTCCATAAAGGCATACGTTCTCTTAGGTAACCAGCCTTTGCGTGTTTTGCCATATTTAAATAATCTAACAGACGTGTAAAAAAACGTTCAGCGTTGAAAAATAATATGCCATTTGTAAAATTAAAATATTTAAAAATTTGTTTTATATAACTCGAAGTATAACATCATTTGTAATGTGAGGCAAGATACTACGCATGGAAGGAATTTGTGGAATTAATTTTGAAAAACAGAAGAGCATGATGTAAAGTATTGCAATAAAATGCATAAAATAAATTCATTTTTCCCACTATCTTTTAATATTAAAAAGAACATATAAAAGAAGTTAAAATATGTATAAAATAAAACTCACTGCCTAAATTAAAATTGTTACAGCTAATTACAGCTTTAAAACTTTTTATTTCCGATACTGATGACATTTTTCACATCTATCAGATAATGAATCCTGCTCATTTAGTCATTTTTGTTAAAAAATATCTAATAGCTCCAGTTTTAACTTTAATAAGATCAGTTCATGGAATTACTAATTGGGCCGCCCAGACGGTATACTGAGAGTCTGACTGAGATACCAAAGAGCCTGGGTTCGAATCCCGGAGAAGGCATGAATGTAAATTGTCTGTCCATTCATAGGAGGCAAAAGTGGCCCACATATTAGGTGCCTCCATAATTAAGAGACCACCACACCTGCCCTTAGGAGTGGCCGATGACAGCATAGGCAAGTGCCTGCCATTCGGAAAAAAAAAATTGGGAACAATTAAAACATCATTTGTTAGACGAATTTTTGGATAAAATTAATAGCTTTCAATTACATCAAATAATGGAATCTCGTGTCACCTAGACGGTATAGTGGTTAGTGGAGCCTACTACGGTACCGAAGGGTCCAGGTTCGAATCCCGGAGAAGACATGGATGTTTGTAATTGTACATTGTCGGTGCGGCAAAGCAGCACTCTAAATATGCAGTGAGCCGAAAGTCCTCTTGTGTGGATTGGTGGGCGTGGAGAGGTGTGGAAGACCCCCGGATCCCCGGGGTGCTCTCCCTCAAAAATTGGGGGGGATATAGAAGTTCATCCTTTCTTCGGAGTTCCATGTAATATGGACACGACAACAACAGCAATGGAATCTCGTCGTATGAAACCATTTGAAAAGTTACAAGAATATAATTTAGCCATGAGAGATCTCTCGCATAAAGGTTCTATTGATGATTCTTCTCTGATTGAGAACGTTATAAACGGTAATTCCTGATTCCTCAAACAACAAAATAATTTTTTACGTCTGTAAATCCATTCCTGAATTTAAAAAAAAAAACTGAAGATTTACGAAAAACTCTCTAACAGGTCAAAATGTTTGAGGCAAAGAAGAAATTTCATAATTCCCTTCACTATGTTAAACTTGATAATAAACGTACATCAAACACACAACCAGTGTGCTATTCCTGTGATTTAAAAGGACATAAAAGCGTCAATTGATCAAATGAATCAAATTTGCCATTTGATTTATCAGCAAAATTTTGTTATGGCTGCAAAAATTAGGTCATGTTCTTGCTAACTGTCCCAAAAATCCTCGTAATTCCACCACGGAATCTGATCCTAAACATTCTACACCTAATAGCACTGTAAATGCACTTTCTGCTCAAATTTTTTCCAAACATCCTATGCATGTGGATATTCAACTTGCATGAACCCCGTTAACTGCACTTTGTGACACTGGGTCACAAGCCACGCTTATTAGTGAGGAAACATACCGCAAGATTGGTTCTCCACCATTACACCCCTCCAAAATTACGTTCTCAGGAATTGGCCAAGACACAGTTCAAAGCATTGGATTCTTTCACGACTCCATTAAAATTCAAAGCACTATTTTTCCTGCTAAAATCGATGTAGAAAAAGAATATTTGATTCCTCTTGATGCGATTATCGGAATTGACTTTTTGCAAAAAAAAAAAAAAAACCAGTTTACATTTGATCAAGACGGTATTCATTTATGCAACAGTAATGATGATCAAATTTTTGTTAACGTTGGTAATGTCAACAGTGATCAACCCTTTCCATTTGGTCTTTCACACATCTCGAACTCTGAAATTCGCAAGGAAGTTCAACATATCGTTACGCCTTACAAACAACATAAAGCTAATTCTGTTATGAAAGATTTTGAGGGAACGAAAGAAAGTGAAAATCAGTTGAAGAAAACAGTTAAGTATGAGGATGAGGATGACAGTGACAAAGATGATGATGATGACAATCATGAAGTTAAAGAAGATGATGACAATGACGAATTGGATTTGGATGATGATGACATGTATGAACATGATGTTGACAATGGTTATGATGGCAATCATGTAGCTAATGAGCATGATGTTGATGAAGATGATGCTGATGACATTGATCATGTTGATGAAGATGATGTTGATCACAATGACAGTGATGATGATGGCAGTCATGAAGCTGATGATGCTGATGTAAAAGTGGGCCGGATAATGAAGAAACTGTGAAAAATAAACTGTGTCAGTTAAAACAAGGTTTACAAAAATGTACTGATCATGCAAAGGAGAGAACACCTGCTAAAATTGCAGAAACTCCCAAAGAACAGAAACTAGAAAAAACTCTGAAGGCGGAAAAGACTTCGAAAACTGAAAAAAGAAGCTTTTCACAGAAAACTCTTGATGCTGAAGCATCTATTGGTTCTACATCTCTCATCTAATCTGGTACTAGAACACTTTATCTGGAAAATTTACTTACTACAGAAGAAATCAAAGCTTTGTCTTTTAATATTTTAGATGTTGCTGTGCCGAAAAAAGTTACAAAGAAACGAAAAAAATTATTTGCATTTTTAAAATTTACTAGTGAAGCTAAAGCTGGGGAAACGCGCAAGCGAAAAAATTACGAGATCAGACTATTACATTAGATTTTGCTGGCGTGAGAAGCAAAAAAAAAAAAAGAAAGAAAAAAAAGAAAAGAAAAAGAAAGCAGGAGTCCAAGGAAATTATTTGTGTCTGGCATTCCAGCTGATATTACAATTTCTCAAATTGCTGAATGTTTTCCCAAAAGCATCTCAGATAACTCAATTTATCACCTGTATATCGAAATGCTACCATAACTTACGTACAGGAGAAAGATGCAGTTGAAACTTTTGAGGCAACAAAGAATGCTCAAACAGCTGGGAGAAAAATTAATGTTCTATATTCTTTAGCTACTCCACGCCCAACGAAAAGTAACAAAAGGTCCTAGAATCATAGAAGAAAAAAAAATTGAAAGGACTTCAAAGGAAATGAAATCTTCAAAGGAATGATGAAAACGGTGTGTTCTATTGAAGCTCAACAGTACATCCTCCATTTACAGAAAGAAAATATACGACAGTATAAGCAAGTAAAACGAGCGACTTAAACGTCGCAAACCTGCCTGTAAATGCAAGCTTCGGAAACCAAATGGTAATACAACCTGAACTGAAAACTTGGACTCAAACTTCGTCTCAAGTTGTTCGGTCCTTATGAAATAACGAACGTTCATCCATCTGATTGTTACGATGTACGAAAGATAGGACATGAAGACTTCATCATAACATCAACCGCTGCTAATAAGATGGAACCGTGGTGCACACACTGAACATTCGCCACCAAGACATTGATTTTTTCACTTTTTCTGCTTTTTTTTCCCCCCAGATCTCTTGTCTTTTTCCCCCCGCCCGAGGACATCTGATCCATCAGGATGCCCGTGTGGGCCACAAAAGTCTTTTTTACGTCTACAAATGGCAACGTCCACAACAGTTAGATGGTTCTGCAAGCTGTGTAAAAAAATTTCAGATAATTCCGGCTTTGAGACAAGACGCTAGAAGAAGCAGCGATGGACTTCGAATGCGAAGGGATATAATTCCTTCTTATGGTGTTATTCTGTTTTGATGATACCACGAACGGACTTATTTTCTTCTTACTTCTTTTCATGTGTTATTTTCATGTTAATTATGTTCGCATGCTTTAATCATTAAATTACTATACATCCTTACTGCCGTAATCATTGGGACTGAGTGCAGTCACACCTTACAACCCTACATATAAAATATATGTACATATATATGATAATTTAATGCGTAGGAGGAATCTGATACTTTAACAGCTTGAAGTCATGGTCGGGAATGGATATTTTGATGTGTTGCAGCTTGAAGTCTACGTAATTGGAGGCATAAGCGACAAACTTCCAGATGTAGCCATTTCAGAACATAATTTTATTCCACTATAATTCACATCAGATCATTTTGTAGACAAGGAATTTATCCGATCATATTTCAATACGATAATTTTTTATGTACACTAATTTTATTATTAAGGTGTAGGCATCGTAGACTGAGAAGCGAAGTAGTGAGAAGATATAAGCAAGTTATAAGCTAGGGAAAGGAATGACGTAAGTAATTTGCGAGAGGTATTGATACTACTTAGGTGCTAAGTAGTATCAATACTAAGCCGTGATTGGTTAATTTAAGTTTTAGTTATTTGGGAGAAAGGATGACTTTAGAGGTAATTATTTCGGATTTATTAAGAATGCTGTAAGATATAATAAAATACGATGGCTACGCTAATAAATAACTGGCAACCTCAAAATAGACTCTTCTAAATTTTGTGTTCTCTCCTTAAGTTCATCTTTACTCCTAAATTTGAGATCTTTCCAAAATTATATGATGCATACATAGCGCTGCTTGCAAAGAGAAATTAATCTAAAACCTAAAACCTAAAATTAACCAATTGCAGCTTAGCTCTACATATGCACCTGCCTAGTATAAACACTGCTTCGCGAGCAATTACGTCACTTTTTATATAGTTGGATTAAAGCGACTAGTGCTATGAATGTCGCAAATCTTGTCACTCCTCATGAAGTAAATAAAATCATCAGGTCTCTCAAAACCCAAAAAGCTCCAGGTAGCGATGCAGCAATCAGATGCTCAAGAACATACCGTTCAGAACTCTCTGCAAAATCACGTGCATTTTTAACGCCTGTTTCTACAATCAGTACTTTCCACAGGCGTGGAAACATGCTAACATCTTTCTCGTTCCGAAACCAGGAAAAAAGCATGAAAATCCCGTAAACTACAGGCCCATTAGCCTGCTGTCATCTATCAGAAAAATTTGCGATAAGACTCATATGTAATAGATTGATCAACAACTTTTAATGTTTAGCAGATCATCAGCAAGGATTCAGGAAAAAACTCTCTACTTCGACGCAGCTCCTTCGCCTCAGTGAATTCATAGGCTTGGCTATCCACAATAAAATGAGTGTTGCAGTCCTGATTCTAGACGTGGCAAAAGCTTTTGATGGCGTCTGCCATCCAGGTCTGCTCTACAAACTTATCAGACTCGACCTGTCCGTGAACTGGTTTTGCTCATAAATTCTTTTCTCCAAAAGCGTACTTTCACTGTCAAACATGGAAAGGCGATATCTGCTGTAAAGAATATCCTAGCTCAAGGTAGAATCCTTGGGCCTTTATTTTGCATAATTTACGTTAACGATTTCCCCAGCTTTCCAGACGACGTTAACATTCTCCTAACCAGCTACGCCGATGACACGGCAATTGTTTCTAAATCACGTCGACCGGACCATGCTCTGGCTAGGCTGCAAGAGAAAATTCCAGCCATAGAAAAATGGTGTGGTTTTTGGAAAACCAGCATTCAATTCTCAAAATCTAAAATTCTTTTCATCAAGACTCGACCAAATTAAAACTCAAGTCACCTTTTTTGGCTCCCCAATCCCAGGGGTCAACAAAGAAAATTAACTTGGATTTATCTTCAATAGTAATTTCTCATGGAACGATCAAGTGACCCACGTATTTGGAAAAGCCTGCAAAATTATGATCAGACTATTCCCACTGTTAAAATGTGAACAACTATCTCTACATCTGAAAAAGAGACTATATTGCGGTCATTCGACCGATTCTCACATACGCTTCCCCTGCCTAGGCAAACGCAAAAGACAAGGACTACAAAAATCTTCAATGCCTTCAAAACAAGTGCTTAAGAATAATCACCGGAGCTCTCTACTTCGTCAGAAATCGTAGTCTGCACTCGGATTTAAACTTAGAACAAATTCAAGAATTTATTAATCGCATCAATGGAAAATTCTTCAACAGAGCGATTAGCTACAACCCGGCTAATTTCGCTAATATCTTAAGTTACGAAATACTCGATGATTTTAAACTTCTTCGTCCATTCGCCGCTCACTTGTTACAGTCTACCTAAACTGACCAATGAGAGCTCAGCTTATACACTCAGTAGTTTGCAAACTCACCGGAAATTTGTTTCGGAATCTACAAACCTCTTCATGTGTTCCGGCCAGCTTTCTGCACTATTCTGCCCGCAAAAAGATATCAAGCAAAAAATCATCTAAATGAATTCAAGAGCGTTCAAAATGGACGTTTTTGTTGAAATATGACACCCGAAATTCTTCGCTATTACATTACTTCCTTTACTTCTTGCAAGGAAGTAAAAAATAACTAAAACTGCAAGCTATTAGCAGGGAATAATTTATTTCGAAAGTTTTATTGAAACATTTAACACTGAGAGTGGATCATTAAATAACGAGGCAAGAATAAATTAAGTATCGAGACGAGCAGATATACCTCCCATTCAAGACAAATTACCTAAGTAAAGTCGAGAAAGGTCAGGGAGGGGAGACTACGAATTTACTTGTGGTCACACTAAATGTTTGCTGTTTAAGTGTGCATGTGCAATCCATGAGACATTCACACACAATGTGACATCTCTGGCTGGGACGGACGGTTCTGTTCTGAGCTCTTGATCCTTAGAAATTAAACCTTTGCCTATCTGGCTTCGTATTTTAGAAATTAAACTCTGCCCATACAGCAAGGTTTCGAACAGGTCTTCGTGAACATCGAGATTGTTTCGCAGAACACTTACATCTTAATTCCACGAATTATTTTCTTATCTTTCATCGATTTTAATGTAAACATTTGAACCTGTTTTCGTATTATTTTAATTTAAGTTGTTATTTTATATGTTTTAGTTTATCATTACTTGTTTAATTAATGCTTGTGAAATTTTAATTTCAGAAGAGAAACCCTCTTCCTAACCACATACGACACTTCGGCAAACCCCAAAAATCCCTTTCAGCGAATCGTATAAATTCTGATAATGAGATTTGTTTACTTCTGTTAGATTCGCAGTTGTGACGGCAAACGAGATGATTCTTTTTCGACTCTCTCTACTGTTCGGCCTTTATCTTTAGGAAAGCGCGCGAAACGGTCTGCGAGCGTTTACACCTACCTCTTGCATTGGGAGGTGTTTTTTGTTTCTCACAAGCGGGGAGTGCTGTGTTTATGCTACTTATTTATTTTCGATAACTGAAAAGCAGTCGTGTATAGTTATTACACTTGCTGGGTTTTTTTTGGGGGGGGGCAGAGGTTTAAACGAAAATGGACAGTTCTTCTGTTCCTAATAACCAGCTTTCCGCGGATGAAAGCAAATCCATCAACAACATCAAAATCAGAATT